GCTCGGAGGGCGGGATAGGGAAAAAAAATTGCTTCAAGTGTAGGAAGGGTAAAAAAAAAATTGTACAAAAGGAGAAAAGGGGTGCAACACGAGGACTTCCCAGGGGGTCACCCATCCTAGTACTACTCTCACCCAAGACTTCGGAGTTCTGATGGGATCCGGTGCGCTAGTGCTGGTATGGTCGCGCCCGTCAGTAATTGCGGGCCGAGCGTATTTGATGTCAGGGGTGCAACACGAGGACTTCCCAAGGGGTCACCCATCCTAGTACTACTCTCACCCAAGACTTCGGAGTTCTGATGGGATCCGGTGCGCTAGTGCTGGTATGGTCGCGCCCGTCAGTAATTGCGGGCCGAGCGTATTTGATGTCAGTCAAGTGCAGGGAGCGATCGCAACCGCGGAGGGACCGGGCCAGCGATTGTGGGGTCCGCGGAGCCGGCGGCGATCGAAAGCGAGGGGCCAGCGGGGAGCAATCGGAGGGGCGGGATAGGGAAAAAAAATTGCTTCAGCGGCGGGAAGGGTAAAAAAAAAATTTGTACAAAAGGAGAAAAGGGGTACAACACGAGGACTTCCCAGGGGGTCACCCATCCTAGTACTAATCTCGCCCAAGCACGCTTAACTTCGGAGTTTTGATGGGATCCGGTGCGTTAGTGCTGGTATGGTCGCACCCGTCAGTAATTGCGGTCCGAGCGTATTTGATGTCAGTCCAACGCAGGGAGCGATCGCAACCGCGGAGGGACCGGGCCAGCTATCGTTGGGTCCGCGGAGCCGGCGGCGATTGAAAGCGAGGGGCCAGCGGGGAGCGCTCGGGGGGGCGGGACAGGGAAAAAAAATTGCTTCAGCGGCGGGAAGGGTAAAAAAAAAAAATTTGTACAAAAGGAGAAAAGGGGTGCAACACGAGGACTTCCCAGGGGGTCACCCATCCTAGTAGTACTCTCGCCCAAGCACGCTTAACTTCGGAGTTCTGATGGGATCCGGTGCGTTAGTGCTGGTATGGTCGCACCCGTCAGTAATTGCGGTCCGAGCGTATTTGATGTCAGTCTAACGCAGGGAGCGATCGCACCCGCGGAGGGACCGGGCCAGCGATTGTGGGGTCCGTGGAGCCCGCGGCGATCGAAAGCGAGGGGCCAGCGGGGAGCGCTCGGAGGGGCGGGATAGGGAAAAAAATTGCTTCTCAAAAGGAGAAAAGGGGAGCAACACGAGGACTTCCCAGGAGGTCACCCATCCTAGTATTACTCTCGCTTCAGCGGCGGGAAGGGGAAAAAAAAAATTGTACAAAAGGAGAAAAGGGGTGCAACACGAGGACTTCCCAGGGGGTCACCCATCCTAGTACTACTCTCGTCGAAGCACGCTTAATTTCGGAGTTCTGATGGGATCCGGTGCGTTAGTACTGGTATGGTCGCACCCGTCAATAATAACGGTCCGAACGTATTTGATGTCAGTCGAGTGTAGGGGCGATAGCAACCGCGGAGGGACCGGGCCAGCGATTGTGGGGTCCGCGGAGCCGGCGGCGATAGAAAGCGAGGGGCCAACAGGTAGCTCTTGGAGGGGCAGGATAGGGGAAAAAATTGCTTCAGCGGCGAGAAGGGTAAAAAAAAAAATTTTACGAAAGGCGAAAAGTGGGGCAACACGAGGACTTCCCAGGGTGTCTTCCATCCTAGTACTACTCTCGCCCAAGCACGGTTAACTTCGGTGTTCGGATGGGATCCGCTGCGTTAGTGCTGGTATGGTCGCAGCCGTCAGTAATTGCGGTCCGAGCTTATTTGATGTCAGTCCAGCGCAGGGAGCGATCACAACCACGGAGCGAACAGGCCAGCGATTGTTGGGTTCGTGGAGCCCGCGGCTATCGAAAGCGAGGAGCGCTTGGAGGGGTGGGATAGGGGAAAAAAATTGCTTCAGTGGCGAGAAGGGTAAAAAAAAATTGTACAAAAGGAGAAAAGGGGTGCAACACGAGGGCTTCCCTGGGTGTCACCCATCCTAGTACTACTCTCGCCCAAGCACGCTTAACTTCGGAGTTCGGATGGGATCCGGTGCGTTAGTGCTGGTATGGTCGCACCCGTCAATAATTGCAGTCCGAGCGTATTTGATGTCAGTCCAGCATAGGTAGCGATCACACCCGCAGAGGGACCAGGCCAGTGATTGTGGGGTTCGCGGAGCCCGCGGCGATCGAAAGTGAGGAGCCAGTGGGGAGCGCTTGGAGGGGCGGGATAGGGGGAAAAAATTGCTTTAGCGGCGAGAAGGGCAAAAAAAAAATTTCTACAAAAGGAGAAAAGGGGTGCAACACGAGGACTTCCCAGGAGGTCAACCATCCTAGTACTACTCTCGCTCAAGCACGCTTAACTTTGCAGTTCTGATGGGATCTGGTGCGTTAGTGCTGGTACGGTCGCACCCGTCAGTAATTGCGGTCCGAGCGTATTTGATGTCAGTCCGGCGCAGGGAGCGATATCAACCGCGGAGGGACCGGGCCAGCGATTGTGGGGTCCGCAGAGCCGACGGCGATCAAAAGCGAGGGGCCGACGGGGAGCGCTTGGAGGGGCGGGATAGAGGAAAAAAATTGCTTCAGCGGCGAGAAGGGTAGAAAAAAATTGCACAAAAGGAGAAAAGGGGTGCAAAACGAGGACTTCCAAGGGGGTCACCCATCCTAGTACTACTCTCTCCCAAGCACGCTTAACATCGAAGTTCTGATGGGATCCAGTGTGTTAGTGCTGGTATGGTTGCACCTATCAGTAATTGCGGTCCGAGCGTATTTGATGTCAGTCCAGCGCAGGTAGCGATCGAAACCGCGGAGGGACCGGACCAGCGATTGTGGGGTCCGCGGAGCCGGTGGCGATCTAAAGCGAGGGGCCAACGGGGAGCGCTAGGAGGGGCGGGATTGGAGAAAAAAATTGCTTCAGCGTTGAGAAGGGCAAGAAAAAAAAATTTTACAAAATGAGAAAAGGGGTGCAACACGAGGACATCCCAGGGGGTCACCAATTCTAGCACTACTCTCGCCCAAGCACGCTTAACTTTGGAGTTCTGATGGAATCCGGTTCGTTAGTGCTGGTGTGGTCGCACCCGTCAGTAATTGCGGTCCGAGCGTATTTGATGTCTGTCCAGCGCAGGGATCGATAGCAACCGTGGAGGGACCGGGCTAGCGATTGTGCGGTCCGCGGAGTCGGCGGCGATCGAAAGCGAGGGGCCAGCGGGGAGCGCTTGAAGGGGCGAGATAGGGGAAAAATTTGCTTTAGCGGCGAGAAGGGTAAAAAAAAAAATTGTACAAAAGGAGAAAAGGGGGGCAACACGAGGACTTCCCAGAGGGTCACCCATCCTAGTACTACTCTCGCCCATGCACGCAAAACTTCGGAGTTCTGATGGGATCCGGTGCGTTAGTGCTGGTATGGTCGCACCCGTCAGTAATTGCGGTCCAAGCGTATTTGATGTCAGTCCAGCGCAGGGAGCGATCCCAACCGTGGAAGGACCGGGCCAGCGATTGTGGGGTTTGCGGAGCCGACGGCGATCGAAAGCGAGGGGCCAACGGGGAGCTCTTGGAGGGAGGGATAGGGGAAAAAAATTGCTTCAGCGGCGAGACGGGTAAAAAAAATTGTTCAAAAGGAGAAAGGGGGTGCAACACGAGGACTTCCCTGGGGGTCACCCATCCTAGCACTACTCTCGCTCAAGCATGCTAAACTTCGGAGTTCTGATGGGATCCGGTGTGTTAGTGCTGGTATTGTCGCACCCGTCAATAATTGCGATCCGTGCGTATTTGATGTCAATGCAGCGCAGGGATCGATGGCAACCGCGGAGGGACCGGGCCAGCGATTGTGGGGTCCGCGGAGCCGGCGAAGATCGAAAGCGAGGGGCAAGCGACGAGCGCTTGGAGGGGCGGGACAGGGGAAAAAAGTTCTTCAGCGACTAGAAGGGTGAAAAAAAAAATTGTACAAAATGAGAAAAGGGGTGCAACACGAGGACTTCCTAGGGGGTTACCCATACTAGTACTACTCTCGCCCAAGCACGCTCAACTTCGGAGTTCGGATGGGATCCAGGGCGTTAGTGCTGGTATGGTCGCACCCGTCAGTAATTTCGGTACGAGCGTATTTGATGTCAGTCCAGCGCAAGGAGTGATAGCAACCGCGGAGGGACCGGGCCAGCGATTGTGGGGTCTGCGGAGCCGGAGGCGATCGAAAGCGAGGGCCAGCGGGGAGCGCTGGGAGAGGCGGGAAAGATGAAAAAAATTGCTTCAGCGGCGAGAAGGGTAAAAAAAATTGTACAAAAGGAGAAAAGGGGTACAACACGAGGACTTCCAAGGGGGTCACCCATCCTAGTACTACTCTCGCCCAAGCACGCTTAACATCGGAGTTCTGATGGGATCCGGTGCGTTAGTGCTGGAATGGTCGCACCCGTCAGGAATTGCGGTCCGAGCGTATTTGATGTCAGTCCAGCGCAAGTAGCGATCACGCCCGCGAAGGGACCAGGCCAGCGATTGTGGGGTCCGCGGAGCCAGCGACATTCGAAAGCGAGGAGCCAGCGGGGAGCGTATGGAGGGGCGGGATAGGGGAAAAAAATAGCTTCAGCGGCGAGAAGGGTAAAAAAAAAAATTCTACAAAAGGAGAAAAGGGGTGCAACACGAGGACTTCCCCGGGGGTCAACCATCCTAGTACTACTCTCGCCCAGGCACGCTTAACTTCGGAGTTCTAATGGGATCCGGTGCGTTAGTGCTGGTATGGTCGCGCCGTCAGTAATTGCGGTTCGAGCGTATTTGATGTCAATCCAGCGTAGGGATCGATAGCAACCGCGGAGGGATCGGGTTAGCGATTGTGGGGTCCGCGGAGCCCGCCGCGATCGAAAGCGAGGGGCCAGTGAGGAGCGCTTGGAGGGGTGGGATGGGGGAAAAAAATTGCTTCAGCGGCGAGAAGGGTAAAAAAAAAATTGTACGAAAGGAGAAAGTGGGGCAACACGAGGACTTCGTATGGTGTCACCCATCCGAGTACTACTCTCGCCCAAGCACGCTTAACTTCGGAGTTCGGATGGGATCCGCTGCGTTAGTGCTGGTATGGTCGCACCCGTCAGTAATTGCGGTCCGAGCGAATTTGATGTCAGTCTAGCGCAGGGAGTGATAGCAACCGCGGAGTGACCGGGCCAGCGATTGTGGGGTCCGCGGAGCCGGAGGCGATCGAAACCGAGGGGCCAACGGGGAGCGCTGGGAGGGGCGGGAAAGAGGAAAAAAATTGCTTCAGCGGCGAGAAGGATAAAAAAAAATTGTCCAAAAGGAGAAAAGGGGTGCAACACGAGGACTTCCATGGGGGTCACCCATCCTAGTACTACTGTCGCCCAAGCACGCTTAACATCGGAGTTCTGATGGGATCCGGTGCGTTAGTGCTGGTATGGTCGCACCCGTCAGTAATTGCGGTCCGAGCGTATTTGATGTCAGTCCAGCGCAGGCAGTGATCACACCCGCAGAGGGATCAGGCCAGTGATTGAGGGGTCCGCGGAGCCCGCGGCGATCGAAAGCGAGGAGCCAGCTGGGAGCGCTTGGAGGGGCAGGACAGGGGAAAAAAATTGCTTCAGCGACAAGAAGGGTAAAAAAAAAATTCTAATAAAGGAGAAAAGGGGTACAACACGAGGACTTCCCAGGGGTTCACCCATCCTAGTATTACTCTCGCCCAAGCACGCTTAACTTCGTAGTTCTGATGGGATCCGTTGCGTTAGTGCTGGTATGGTCGCACCCGTCAATAATTGCGGTCCGAGCGTATTTGATGTCAATCCAGCGCCGGGATCGATAGCAACCGCGGAGGAACCGGGCCAGCGATTGTGGGGTCCGCGGAGCTCGTGGCGATCAAAAACGAGGGGCCAGCGGTGAGCGCTTCGAGGGGCGAGATAGGGAAAAAAAATAGCTTCAGCGGCGAGAATGGTAAAAAAAAATTGTACACAAGGAGAAAAGGGGGGCAACACGAGGATTTCCCAGGGGGTCACCCATCCTAGTATTACTCTCGCCCAAGCACGCTTAACTTCTGAGTTCTGATGGAATCCGGTGCATTAGTGCTGCTATGGTCGCACCCGTTAGTAATTGCGGTCCGAGCGTATTTGATGTCAGTCCAGCGCAGTGAGCGATAGCAACCGCGAAGGGACCGGGCCAGTGATTGTGGGGTCCGCGGAGTCGGCGGCGATCGAAAGGAAGGGGCCAGCGGGGAGCGCTTGGCGGGGCGGGATAGGGGAAAAAAATTGCTTCAGCGGCGAGAAGGGTAAAAAAAATAATTATACAAATGGAGAAAAGGGGTGCAACACGAGGACTTCCCAGGGGTTCACCCATCCGAGTACTACTCTCGCCCAAGCATGCTTAACATCAGAGTTCTGATGAGATCCGGTGCGTTAGTGCTGGTATGGTCGCACCCGTCAGTAATTGTGGTCCGAGCGTACTTGATGTCAGTGCAGCGGGGGGAGCGATCGCAACCGTTGAGGGACCGGGCCAGCGATAGTGGGGTCCGCGGAGCCGACGGCGATCGAAAGCGAGGGGCCTGTGGGGAGCGCTTGGAGGGGCGGGATAGGGGAAAAAATTACTTCAGCGGCGAGAAGGGTAAAAAAAAAATTGTACAAAAGGAGAAAAGGGATGCAACACGAGGACTTCCCAGGGGGTCACCCATCCTAGTACTACTCTCGCCCAAGCACGCTTAACTTCGGAGTTCTGATGGGATCCGGTGCGTTAGTGCTGGTATGGTCGCACCTGTCAGTAATTGCGGTCACAGCGTATTTGATGTGAGTCCAGCGCAGGGAGCGATCACAACCGCGGAGGGACCAGGCCAGCAATTTTGGGGTCCGCGGAGCCCGTGGCGATCGAAAGCGAGGAGCCAGCGGGGAGCGCTTGGAGGGGCGAGATTGGGGAAAAAATTGCTTCAGCGGCGAGAAGGTTAAAAAAAATTGTACAAAAGGAGAATGGGGGGCAACACGAGGACTTCCTAGGGGGTCACCCATCCTAGTACTACTCTCGCCCAAGCACGCTTTTACTCTCGCTTCAGCGGCGGGAAGGGGCGTTACCATCCTAGTACTACTCTCGCGGAGCCGGCGGCGATCGAAAGCGAGGGGCCAGCGGGGAGGGCTCGGAGGGGCGGGATAGGGAAAAAAAATTGCTTCAGCGGCGAGAAGGGTAAAAAAAATTGTACAAAAGGAGAAAAGGGGTGCAACACGAGGACTTCCTAGGGGGTCACCCATCCTAGTACTACTCTCGCCCAAGCACGCTTAACTTCGGAGTTCTGATGGAATACGGTGCATTAGTGCTGGTATGGTCGCACCTGTTAGTAATTGTGGTCCGACAGTATTTGATGTCAGTCCAGCGCAGGGTGCGATAGCAACCGCGGAGGGACTAGGCCAGCGATAGTGGGTTCCGCGGAGCCGGCGGCGATTGAAAGCGAGGGGCCAGCGGGTAGCGCTTGGAGGGGCGAGATAGCGGAAAAAAATTGCTTTAGCGACGAGAAGGGTAAAAAAAAATTGTACAAAAAGAGAAAAGGGGCGCAACACGAGGACTTCCCAGGAGGTCACCCATCCTAGTACTACTCTCGCCCAAGCATGCTTAACTCCGGAGTTCTGAAGGGATTCGGTGCGTTAGTGCTGGTATGGTCGTCCCTGTCAGTAATTGCGGTCCGAGCGTATTTGATGTTAGTCCAGTGCAGGGAGCGATCGCAATCGCGGAGGGACCGGGCCAGTGATTGTGGGGTCCACGGAGCCGGCGGCGATCGAAAGCGAGGGGCCAGCGGGGAGCGGTTGGAGGGGCGGGATAGGGGAAAAAAATTGCTTCAGCGACAAGAAGGTTAAAAAAAATTGTACAAAAGGAGAAAAGGGGGGCAGCACGAGGATTTCCCAGGTGGTCACCCATCCGAGTACTACTCTCGCCGAAGCACACTTATCTTCGGAGTTCTGATACGATCCGGTGCGTTAGTGCCGGTATGGTCGCACCCATCAGTAATTGCGGTCCGAGCGTATTTGATCTCAGTCCAGCGCAGGGAGCGATCGCAACCGCGAAGGGACTGGCCAATGATTGTGGGGTCCGCGGAGCCGGTGGCGATCGAAAGCGAGGGGCCAGCAGGGTGCGCTTGGAGAGGCGGGATAGGGGAAAAAATTGACTCAGCGGCGAGGAGGGTAAAAAAAGAAAAAAAATTTACAAAAAGGAGAAAAGGGGTGCAACACGAGGACTTCCCAGGGGTCACCCATCCTAGTACTACTCTCGCCCAAGCACGCTTAACTTCAGAGTTCTGATGGGATCCGGCGCGTTAGTGCTGGTATGGTCGCACCCGTCAGTAGTTGCGGTTCGAGCGTATTTGATGTCAGTCCAGGGCAGGGAGCGATCGCAACTGCGGAGGGACCGGGCCAGCGATTGTGGGGTCAGCGGAGCCGACGGCGATCGGAAGCGAGGGGTCGGCGGGGAGCTCTTGGAGGGGTGGGATAGGGGAAAAAAATTGCTTCAGCGGCGAGAAGGGTAAAAAAAAGAAAAAAAAACTTTTACAAAAGGAGAAAAGGGGAGCAACACGAGGACTTCCCAGGGGGTCACCCATCTTTGTACTACTCTCGCCCAAGAAAGCTTAACTTCGGAGTTTTGATGGGATCCGGTGCGTTAGTGCTGGTATGGTCGCACCCGTCAGTAATTGCGGTCCGAGCGTAATTGATGTCATTCCAGCGTAGGGAGCGATAGCAACCTCAGAAGAATCGGGACAGCGATTGTTAGGTCTGCGGAGCCCACGGCGATCGAAAGCGAGGGGCCAGCGGAGAGCGCTTGGTGGCGCGGGATAGGGGAAAAAAATTTCTTCAGCGGCGAGAGGGTAAAAAAAAATAGTACAAAAGGAGAAAAGTGGTGCAACACGAGGACTTCCCAGGGTGTCACCAATCCTAGTACTACTCTCGCCCATGAACGCTTAACTTCGGAGTTCAGATGGGATCCACTGCGTTAGTGCTGGTATGGTCGCTCCCGTCAGTAATTACGGTCCGAGCGTATTTGATGTCAGTCCAGCGCAGGGAGCGATAGCAACCGCGGAGGGACCGGGCAAGCGATTGTGGGGTCCACTGAGCCGGCGGTGATCGAAAGCGAGGAGCCCTTGGAGGGGCAGGATAGAGGAAAAAAATTGCTTCAGCTGCGAGAAGGGTAATAAAAAAAATTGTGCAAAAGGAGAAAAAGGGTGCAACACGAGTACTTCCAAGGGGCTCACCCATCCTAGTACTACTCTCGTCCAAGCACACTTAACATCGGAATTCTGATGGGATCCGGCGCGTTAGTGCTGGTATGGTCGCACCCGTCAGTAATTGCGGTCCGAGCGTATTTGATGTCAGTCCAGCGCAGGGAGCGATCGTAACCGCGGAGGGACAAGGCCAGCGATTGTGGGGTCTGCGGAGCCGGTGGCTATCGAAAGCGAGGGGCCAGCGGGGAGCGCTTGGAGGGGCGGGATAGGGGAAGAAAATTGCTTAAGCGGCGAGAAGGGTAAAAAGATAAAAAATAAAAATTTCTGCAAAAGGAGAAAAGGGGTGCAACACGAGGACTTCCCAGGGGGTCACCCATCCTAGTGCTGCTCTCGCCCAAGCATGCTTAACTTCGGGGTTCTGATGGGATCCGGTGCGTTAGTGCTGGTATGGTCGCAACTGTCAGTAATTGCGGTCCGAGCGTATTTGATGTAAATCCAGCGCAGGGATCGATAGCAACCGCGGAAGGACCGGGCCAGCGATTGTGGGGTCCGCGAAGCCCTCAGCAATCAAAAGCGAGGGGCCAGCAGGGAGAGCTTGGAGGGACGAGATAGGGGAAAAAAATTGCTTCAGCAGGGAGAATGGTAAAAAAAAATTTTACAAAAGGAGAAAAGAGATGCAACACGAGGACTTCCCAGGGGGTCACCCATCCTAGTACTACTCTCGTCCAAGCACGATTAACATCGGAGTTTTGATGGGATCCGGTGCGTTAGGGTTGGCATGGTCGCACCCGTCAGTAATTGCGGTCCAAGCGTATTTGATGTCAGTCCAACGCAGTGAGCGATCGCAACAGTGGAGGGACCGGGCCAGCGATTGTGGGGTCCGCGGAGCCGGCGGCGATTGAAAGCAAGGGGCCAGCGGGGAGCGCTTGGAGGGGCGAGATCGGGGAAAAAAATTGCTTCAGCGGCGAGAAGGGTAAAAAAAAATTGTACAAAAGGAGAATAGGGGGGCAACACGAGGACTTCCCAGGGGGTCACCCATCCTAGTACTACTCTCGCCCAAGCACGCTTAACTTCGGAGTTCTGATGGAATACGGTGCATTAGTGCTGGTATGGTCGCACCTGTTAGTAATTGCGGTCCGACCGTATTTGATGTCAGTCCAGCGTAGGGAGCGATAGCAACCGCGGAGGGACTGGGCCAGCGATAGTGGGGTCCGCGGAGCCGGCGGCGATTGAAAGCGAGGGGCCAGCGGGTAGCGCTTGGAGGGGCGGGATAGCGGAAAAAATTGCTTTAGCGACGAGAAGGGTAAAAAAAAATTGTACAAAAAGAGAAAAGGGGTGCAACACGAGGACTTCCCAGGAGGTCACCCATCCTAGTACTACTCTCGCCCAAGCATGCTTAACTCCGGAGTTCTGGTGGGATTCGGCGCGTTAGTGCTGGTATGGTCGTCCCTGTCAGTAATTACGGTCCGAGCGTATTTGATGTTAGTCCAGCGCAGGGAGCGATCGCAACAGCGGAGGGACCGGGCCAGCGATTGTGGGGTCCGCGGAGCCGACGACGATCGAAAGCAAGGGGCCAGCGGGGAGCGCTTGGAGGGGCGGGATAGCGAAAAAAAATTGTTTCAGCGGCGAGAAGGGTAAGAAAAAATTGTACAAAAGGAGAAAAGGGGTGCAACACGAGGACTTCCCAGGGGGGCACCCATCCTGGTACTACTCTCGCCCAAGCACGCTTAACTTCGGAATTCTGATGGGATCCGGTGCGTTAGTCCTGGTATGGTCGCACCCGTCAGTAATTGCGGTCCGAGCGTATTTGAAGTCAGTCCAGCGCAGGGAGCGATCGCAACCGCGGATGACAGTGCCAGCGATTGTTGGGTCCGCGGAGCCCGCGGCGATCGAAAGCGGAGAGCCAGCGGGGAGCGCATGGAGGGGCGGGATAGGGGAAAAAATTGTTTCAGCGGCGAGAAGGGCAAAAAAAAATTCTACAAAAGGAGAAAAGGGTGACAACACGAGGACTTCCCAGGCGGTCACCCATCCTAGTACTACTCTCGCCCAAGCACGCTTAACTTCGTAGTTCTGATGGAATCCAGTGCATTAGTGCTGGTATGGTCGCACCCGTGAGTAATTGCGGTCCGAGCGTATTTGATGTCAGCCCAGCGCAGGGAGCGATTGCAACCGCGGATCGGGCCAGCGAATGTGGGGTCCACGGAGCCGACGGCGATCGAAAGCAAGGGGCCAGCGGGGAGCGCTTGGAGGGGTGGGATAGGGGAATAAAATTGCTTCAGCGGCGAGATGGGGCGAAAAAAAATTTGAACAAAAGGTGAAAAGGGGTGCAACACGAGGACTTCACAGGGGGTCACCCATCCGAGTACTACACTCGCCCGAGCACGTTTAACATTGGAGTTCTGACGGGATCCGGTGCTTTAGTGCCGGTATGGTCGCACCCGTCAGTATTGCGGTCCGAGCGTATTTGATGTCAGTCCAGCGCAGAGAGCGATCGCAACCGTGGAGGGACCGGGCCAGCGATTGTGGGGTCCGCGGTGCTGGCGGCGATCGAAACGAGGGGCCTGCGGGGAGCGCTTGGAGGGGTTGGATAGGGGAAAAAAATTGCTTCAGCGGCGCGAAGGGTAAAAAAAATAATTGTACAAAAGGAGAAAAGGGGTGCAAAACGAGGACTTCCCAGGGGGTCACCCATCCTAGTACTACTCTCGCCCACGCACGCTTAACTTCGGAGTTCTGATGGGATCCGGTGCGTTAGTGCTGGTATGGTCGTACCCGTCAGTAATTTCGGTCCGAGCGTATTTGATGTCAGTCCAGCACCGGGCCAACGATTGTGGGGACCGCAAAGCCGACGGCGATCGGAAGCGAGGGGCCAGTGAGGAGCCCTTGGAGGGGCGGGATAGGGTAAAAAAATTACTTCAGCGGCGAGAAGGGTAAAAAAAATTTTACAAAAGGAGAAAAGTGGGTCAACACGAGGACTTCCCAGGGTGTCACCGATCCTAGTACTACTCTCGCCCATGCACGCTTAACTTCGGAGTTCGGATGGGATCCACTGCGTTAGTGCTTGTATGGTCGCACCCATCAGTAATTACGGTCCGAGCGTATTTGATGTCAGTCCGGCGTGGGGAGTCATAGCAACCGCGGAGGGACCGAGCCAGCGATTGTGGAGTGGGGTCCACCGAGCCGGCGGCGAATGAAAGCTAGGGGCCAGCGGAGAGCGCTTGGACGGGCGGGATAGAGGAAAAAAATTGCTTCAGCGGCGAGAAGTGTAAAAAAAAATTGTACAAAAGGAGAAAAGGGGTGCAACACGAGGACTTCCAAGGGGGTCATCCATCCTAGTACTACTCTTGCCCAAGCATGCTTAACATCGGAGTTCTGATGGGATCCGGTGCGTTAGTGCCAGTATGGTCGCACCCGTCAGTAATTGCGATCCGATCGTATTTGATCTCAGTCTAGTGTAGGGAGCGATCGCAACCGCGGAGGGACCGGGCCAGCGACTGTGGGGTCCGCGGAGCCGGGGGCGATCGAAAGTTAGGGGCCAGCGGGGAGCGCTTCGAGGGGCGGGATAGGGGAAAAAATTGCTTTAGCGGCGAGAAGGGTAAAAAAAAATGTACAAAAGGAGAAAAGGGGTATAACACGAGGACTTCCCAGGGGGTCAACCATCCTAGTACTACTCTCGCCCAAGCACGGTTAACTTCGGAGTTCTGATGGGATCCGGTGCGTTAGTCCTGGTATGGTCGCACCCGTCAGTAATTGCGGTCCAAGCGTATTTGATGTCAGTCCAGCGCAGGGAGCAATAGCAATCGCAGAGGGACCGGGCCTGCTATTGTGGGGTCCGCCATGCTCGCGGCGGTCGAAAGCGAGGGGCAAGCGGGGAGCGCATGGAGGGTCGGGATAGGGAAAAAAATTGCTTCAGCGGCGAGAAGGGTAAAAAAAAATTGTACAAAAGGAGAAAAAGGGGTACAACACGAGGACTTCCCAAGGGGTCACCCATCCTAGTACTACTCTCGCCCAAGCACGCTTAACTTCGGAGTTCTGATCGGATTCGGTGCGTTAGTGCTGGTATGGTGGTACCCGTCAGTACTTGCGGTCCGAGCGTATTTGATGTCAGTCCTGTGCAGGGAGCGATAACAACCGCGAAGAGATACCGAGCCAGCGATTGTGGGGTAGGGTCCGCGGAGCCGGCGGCGATCGAAAGCGAGGAGCGTTTGGAGGGGCGGGATAGGGTAAAAAAATTGCTTCAGCGGCGAGAAGGGTAAAAAAAAAATTCTACAAAAGGAGAAAAGTGGGGCAACACGAGGACTTCCCAGGGTGTCACCCATCCTAGTACTACTCTCGCCCATGCACGCTTAACTTCAGAGTTCAGATGGGATCCACAGCGTTAGTGCTGGTATGGTCGCACCCGTCAGTAGATGCGGTCCGAGCGTATTTGATGTCAGTCCAGCGCTGGGAGCGATAGCAACCGCGGAGGGATCGAGCCAGCGATTGTGGCGTGGGGTCCGTGGAGCCGGCGGCGATCGAAAGCGAGGGGCCAGCGGGGAGCGCTTGGTGGGGCGGGATAGGGGAAAAATTGCTTCAGCGGCGAGAAGGGTAAAAAAAAAAATTGTACAAAAGGAGAAAAGGGGTGCAACACGAGGACGTCCCAGGGGTTCACCCATCCTAGTTCTACTTTCGCCCAAGCACGCTTAGCTTCGGAGTTCTGATGGGATCCGGTGCGTTAGTACTAGTACGGTCGCACCCGTCAGCAATTGCGGTCCGAGCATATTTGATGTCAGTCCAGTGCAGGGAGCGATCGTAACCGCAGAGGGATAGGGACAAAGATTATGGGGTCAGCGGAGCCTATGGCGATCGAAAGCGAGGGGCCAGCGGGGAGTGATTGGAGGGCCGGGATAGCGGAAAAAAATTGCTTCAGCGGCGAGAAGGGTAAAAAAAACTGTACAAAAGGAGAAAAGGGATGCAACACGAGGACTTCCCAGGGGGTCACCCATCCTATTACTACTCTCGCCGAAGCACGTTTAACTTCGGAGTTCTGATGGGATCCGGTGCGTTGGTGGTGGTATGGTCGCACCCATCAGTAATCTTGGTCTGGGCGTATTTGATGTTAGTCCAGTACAGGGAGCGATAGCAACCACGGAGGTACCGGGCCAGCGATTGTGGGGTCCGCGGAGCCCGCGGCAATCGAAAGCGAGGGGCCAGCGGGGATCGCTTGGAGGGGCGGGATAGGGAAAAAATTGCTTCAGCGGCGAGAAGGGTAAAAAAAAAATTGTACGAAAGGAGAAAAGGGGTGCAACACGAGGACTTCCCTGGGGGTCACCCATTCTAGTACTACTCTCATCCAACACGCTTAACTTAGGAGTTCTGATGAGATCCGGTGCGTTAGAGCTGGTATGGTTGCACCCATCAATAATTGCGGTTCGAGCGTATTTGATGTCATTCCAGTGCAGGGAGCGATAGCAACCGCGGAGGAACCGAGCCAGCGATTATGAGGTCTGCGGAGCCCGCGGCGATCGAAAGCGAGGGGCCAGCGGGGACCGCTGGGAGGCGCGGGACGGGGGCAAAAAATTTCATCAGCGGCGAGAGGGTAAAAAAAAATTGTACAAAAGGAGAAAAGTGGTGCAACACGAGGACTTCCCAGGGGGTCACCCATCCTAGTACTACTCTAGCCTAAGCACGCTTAACTTCGGAGTTTTGATGGGATCTGGTGCTTTAGTGCTGGTACGGTCTCACCCATCAGTATTTGCGGTCCGAAGGTATTTGATGTCAGTCCAGCGTAGGGAGCAATAGCAACCACGGAGGGACCGGGCCAGAGATTGTGGGGTCCGCGGAGCCGGCGGGGATCGTAAGCGAGGGGCCAGCGGGGAGCGCTTGGAGGGGCGGGATAGGGAAAAAAAATTGCTTCTGCGGCGAGAAGGGTAAAAAAAATTGTACAAAAGGAGAAAAGGGGTGCAACACGAGGACTTCCCGCGGGCTCACCTTTCCTGGTACTACTCTCGCCCAAGCACGCTTAACTTCGAAGTTCGAATGGGATCCGGTGCGTTAGTGCTAGTATGGTCGCACCCGTCAGTAATTGCGATCCCAGCGTATTTGATGTCAGTCCAGCGCAGGGAGCGACCGCAACTACAGAGGGAACGGGCCAGCGATTGTGGGGTCCGCGAAGCCCGCGGCTATAGAAAGCAAGGGGCCAGCGAGGAGCGCTTGGTGGGGCGGGATTGGGAAAATTTTGCTTCAGCGGCGAGAAGGGTAAAAAAAAATTGTACAAAAGGAGAAAAGGAGTGCAACACGAGGACTTCCCAGGGGGTCAACCATCCTAGTACTACTCTCGCCCAAGCACGCTTAACTTCGGAGTTCTGATGGGATCAAGGGGTGCAACACGAGGACGTCCCAGGGGTTCACCCATCCTAGTTCTACTCTCGCCCAACCACGCTTAACTTCGGAGTTCTGATGGGATCAAGGGGTGCAACACGAGGACGTCCCAGGGGTTCACCCATCCTAGTTCTACTCTCGCCCAACCACGCTTAACTTCGGAGTTCTGATGGGATCAAGGGGTGCAACACGAGGACGTCCCAGGGGTTCACCCATCCTAGTTCTACTCTCGCCCAACCACGCTTAACTTCGGAGTTCTGATGGGATCAAGGGGTGCAACACGAGGACGTCCCAGGGGTTCACCCATCCTAGTTCTACTCTCGCCCAACCACGCTTAACTTCGGAGTTCTGATGGGATCAAGGGGTGCAACACGAGGACGTCCCAGGGGTTCACCCATCCTAGTTCTACTCTCGCCCAACCACGCTTAACTTCGGAGTTCTGATGGGATCAAGGGGTGCAACACGAGGACGTCCCAGGGGTTCACCCATCCTAGTTCTACTCTCGCCCAACCACGCTTAACTTCGGAGTTCTGATGGGATCAAGGGGTGCAACACGAGGACGTCCCAGGGGTTCACCCATCCTAGTTCTACTCTCGCCCAACCACGCTTAACTTCGGAGTTCTGATGGGATCAAGGGGTGCAACACGAGGACGTCCCAGGGGTTCACCCATCCTAGTTCTACTCTCGCCCAACCACGCTTAACTTCGGAGTTCTGATGGGATCAAGGGGTGCAACACGAGGACGTCCCAGGGGTTCACCCATCCTAGTTCTACTCTCGCCCAACCACGCTTAACTTCGGAGTTCTGATGGGATCAAGGGGTGCAACACGAGGACGTCCCAGGGGTTCACCCATCCTAGTTCTACTCTCGCCCAACCACGCTTAACTTCGGAGTTCTGATGGGATCAAGGGGTGCAACACGAGGACTTCCCAGGGGGTCGTCCGAGCGTATTTGATGTTAGTCCAGCGCAGGGAGCGATCGAAACCGCGGAAGGACCGGGCCTGCGATTGTAGGGTCCGCGGAGCCCGCGGCGATCGAAAGCGAGGGGCCAGCGAGGAGCGCTTGGAGGGGCGGGATAGGGGAAAAAATTGCTTCAGCGGCGAGAAGGGTAAAAAAAAATTATACAAAAGGAGAAAAGGGGTGCAACACGAGGACTTCCCGCGGGCTCAGCCATCCTAGTACTACTCTCGCCCAAGCATGCTTAACTTCGGAGTTCGGATGGGATCCGGTGCGTTAGTGCTAGTATGGTCGCACCCGTCAGTAATTGCGATCCGAGCGTATTTGATGTCAGTCCAGCACAGGGAGCGACCGCAACGGCGGAGGGAACGGGCCAGTGATTGTGGGGACCGCGGAGCCCGCGGCTATAGAAAGCAAGGGGCCAGCGGGGAGCGCTTGGTGGGGCGGGATAGGGAAAAATTTTCTTCAGCGGCGAGAAGGGTAAAAAAAATTGTACAAAAGGAGAAAAGGGGTGCAACACGAAACATCCCAGGGGTTCACCCATCCTAGTTCTACTCTCGCCCAGGCATGCTTAACTTCGGAGTTCTGTTGGGATCCGGTGCGTTAGTGCTGGTATGGTCTCACCAGTCCGTAATTGCGGTCCGAGCGTATTTGATGTCAGTTCAGCGCAGGGAGCGTTCGCACCCGCGGAAGAACCGGGCCAGCGATTGTGGGGTCCGCGGAGCCCGCGGCGATCAAAAGCGAGGGGCCATCGGGGAGCGCTTGGAGGGGCGGGATAGGGGAAAAAATTGCTTCAGCGGCGAGAAGGGTAGAAAAAAAATTGTGCAAAAGGAGAAAAGGGGTGCAACAGGAGGACTTCCCAGGGGGCCAACCATCCTAGTACTACTCTCGCCCAAGCACGCTTAACTTCGGTGTTCTG